CAGCGTTTTTTTGTTACTAATTTGCACTTCTATTGCACAATAGTTGAGAAGTATAAATCCGCAGATTATTATTATTATTTAGTTGTTTATTTTTGTATGCATTAACTGCTTGGCATTTCAAAAGTGTGGCCATATTCAAACTTTTGTTAGAATTGCATAGATCACCTACTGATATTAATTCTGTAGGTATATTTCCTTTTTTTATTGTTTTATTCTTTTTATTTCATTATCATTTTTGATAATTTTATCAGTATGATTTACATAGTGTAGTTGTGTGTACTTATCCTCAGAGTGTATGCATCATTATTGTGAAAGGATTGCTTTTCATAGCATATAGTTAGTATGAGTTATATTTATGATCATAGTAATATTATATATATAGTATATAATTAATATAGTATAGGGATATATAAGTATATAATAGTATATGTGTAGTATATGTATTATGATAGATGCTGTAGTATACTGTAATATAATGTGATAGTATAAGGAATATTAATGTACGCTATATAGAGTAGGTATAGGGATATGGATTTAATGATTAGTATATGAGTGTATTATATATCATATGCATATATGATAGGTTATGCATATATATATATATGGTCGACACTATTAATATATATAAACATATATATATAGCTACTAGTAATACTATATATATTATATAATATATATATACATATTAATCATATTACATATAATATACTATACTATAATATATATATATATTCATAGTAATATATATATACAGGATAGTATATATTATACTTATAATATGATATATCATAATATATTAAATATATATATGAGAGTATATAAGTATAGGCACACCGACACCACACACACACACCAACACACACACACCACCACACACACACACCACACACAACACACAGACACCACCACACACACACACAATGGCTAATTCACACACACAGCGACGACACACACACACACAACATTTATATACACAGCACACAAAGGAATCTATGGGTCACGAGCGAGCATAGCTATATATAGTGTTGGGGTGTGGTGTGTCGTGTGATGTGTGTGTTGTGTTGTGTGTGCGGTGTCGTGTGTGTTTGTGTGTGTGTGTTGTTATAGATATATATGACGGTAATAACTATATATTATGATATATATATATACATACATATATATTAAATGTATAATATAGAGAATATCATATACTATAGTAACTATATATATATAGTAGCTGTATATTAAAATAATATAATATATATAGGAGTATACCTTATATATGTAATGTTATATATAGCGAATTATATAATCTATATATATACGATCGATAATACTTAGATAAGTATATTAGTGTAATATATATACTATAGTTATACTACTTAGTATATACTTATATATAAATCGTATTATACGTGTATTATGAAAATATATATGTATGTATGTATGATATATAGTATGAATCATATAAATATATAGTATTATATATATAGTAATGTATGTATAGATAATACCTATTATATATGAATATTACGTATTATAATATATATAGTATGCTAGTAGTATATAATATATTATATAATACAGCTATATATAGCGTATAATATACTATATAATATGTGCATATGTTGTGTAGTGCTGTGTATATATTATATGTGCATATATGGCTTTGTGTGTGTGTGTGGTGTAAATATAATATGCAGTAAGTTCATATATAATTGATATAGATTACGCGATATTATACTATAGTATACACGTAATATAATATAATGATATACATAGGGCAAGTATATATAATATAGTGAGTAGTATATATAATGGGTTGTGTATATCATATAATGTGTATAAATAAAACTATAAATAGTTTTTATAATATATATATAAATCTATTATAATATATAGTATTATAATATATGATGTATATATAGTATGTGTGTGTGTGTGTAATACATATATTATAACTGTATACTATATATAGTACTATATAATATATCGCGTATTTATACTATATATATTTATATAGTTTACGTACGACTAGTATCAGATAGAGGTAATAATGTAATATAGAGCTGACGTCAGTAGTTGACTAAATATTGTATAGGATTATATACATATGTACCCTAGTGTAAATCTGTATACTGTATAGGTATAATTACTAATATCTAATATAGATAGTATACTAGTACGTGTATGCTTATGATATAATGATTATAATTATATATATAAACTTATATCATTGCCGACAGTATATATAAGTATATTACTATTATGATAATATATAATAGTAGCTAGTAAATTTATTATTTATCTTTTTTATTTATTATTATTAGTTTTTTTTACTTTTTTCATACTTTTTTTTTTCTTTTTCTTTTTATTGATTTTTAGAACTTTGAAAGGAAGTATTTTGAGCTTGCCATAGTTATCATTATAATCATAGGGCTTGATATTAGCAGGTGGCCAAACTACAAACCAGATATATGATTTTTTCTTTACGAGTTTGTCCTTTAGATTTATGGGTAATATGAGACCAGACAAATTTTTTTTTTTAAGTAATGGGAAGTCTGTCGTGAAATTTGTAAGAACTAGTTATTAGAATGAAGGGTTCTTCTCGAGTAAAGATCATGCATTGATGAAGGATTACATGAAGCACTATAAAAGCAGGTTAGTAAAATACGTTTGTAAGAAAAAAGAAACGAAAGGCATCATGAATTATGTTAAGTGTTTTCTGAGCAAGGAAAACTTATGTTGCATGGATTGGAATATTTAAATAACACAGCATGAAAAGTCGTGTTTATGGAAAGAGCATTGATAATTACTAATCTGATTGAATGATACAACTTCTATAGTCTTGTCTTGAACTCCGTCAAGAAATATGTTTTTAGAGTTAAATGGAAATTGTATTTGATATATACTTCAGAGTATTACTTCTGCAAGGATAGAAAGAAGAAAATTGGCCATTTTTGTGGTAAATCTGTAATGAACTTTTGCAATGTAGGTACAAAATTTGTTTATTTGTATTTTCCATTAATTTGCTTACTTTATTTCCTATTTGCTTAGTTTTAAAAAGTTTGTGTGAAAGTTGTTGTGTGTATGATGTGTTGTCTGTCTTCCTCTGTTTTTAAAGACACCTTAAAACTCTTTAATAAATTGTACTTTAACACTTTAGTGATAGGCACACCTATAGTCATGAGAAATGATGTGTGTACCTGTCATAGTTCGTTCTAGTGAGCGATGGGTTGACCTAGTTTTACACAGCACATGCCCAGCCAGAAAGGCTAGACTATTGTGTAATTATCACATCACAGAAAATCTGGCCCTGTCATGATAGGGTTAAGATTTAATATAACTTATGACATTTTACTTTCGGACTTAACATTATTTGGTATATTGTGCTTTAAAACTTGAAATTAACAAATATATCTTGCAACCAGCCCCAGGTCAAGTTATTTTATAAACTCCAGATTGTAGTTTTTTATCTGTTGTAGATACAAGAAGAAGTATATAGTTGTGTCAAATGTAATATTTCTCTAGTGATCCTTGCAGTTACCTTGCATGTGGATTGAACAGATGGATGGATAAATGATTATAAAGGTTTATAGATTGTGTGTGTGTGTGACTGCATGCCTGTGTAAGCCTGTGAGAATGATATTGGGTGTAATTATGATAGATCATTCATTCTCTTTTTGTAGATTTAGAACATGATTATCTTTTAATATGTTTAGACCAAATTAGTTTTTTTTTTCCCATGTAGATGTCATTATTGTAACATGTTTAGTGTCATTATCTTCCAGTTCAGCAAACTCTAGTGTTTGCTCTGTTTCCTGGAGGTGGTACCGTTAAGCATTTTCTTGAAAGGGATTTTCCGGGTCAGTTACTGGATTTCGTGAGAGTGATTCAGTTGAGTATCTGCTTCCATGTTTGCTTGAATTAGTGTGTGCGTGTGATTACTTCCATTTATTTTATGCATTTTTGTAGCATATTCTTTACTTTTTTTTTTTTTTTTATTCTATTGCTGTAATAAACCTATCCATTTTGTTTTCTATGTTGTACTTATTTCCTTATTTCCTTTTATTCATAGAATATCCATATTTGCCAAACACCATTATCTACATGAATGTAAGACTAACTAAAAATGAAACATAGAGATAAAATCTGTACAGTTAAACACGCAAAAACAATGCAGTATTTGCCTTATCTTTACATACGAAGAACCTCTCATTGTACATAAGTGCTTCGTATGTGTAGCAGGTGAAAGATGCTTCCTTTCAAAGCTCTCTTTAGGTGACTAACATGCATTGTAGAAAATGCTAACTGGTATCAAGTTGAGCAATTTATGATAGATTATTATATATATATACTTTTTCAGTAAATTGATATACCTTGTGCTGTAGGGAATGCCAAAGTATTTTATTAGAGATGCCATTTTTTGGCTGTTTGTACAAGTGTAGTGATTTTAACCATATAGCCATTTGGAATTATATTTATATGTATATTACCTTTCTCTTGTAGTTAAATTTTTCCTACATAGGCATTTACATGCACATAAACAAACATGTACACTTGCAGATGCATCTTTTATAAGTGTGAAAACATGAATTGATTATCTGTAATTGTTTTTTGTATTAAAAGAAACTTTTATTTATTTAGTTAGTTAAGCATGCCATTGTAATGTGATTTGTAATTAAAAGTTAGAAGTAATCTGTGTATGTTTCCATTGTGAAAAAGTTAATATCATGATGTAATTGACAATGATTTTATGAATGAATACCATCCACATTTCTCTTTTGTGTGTAGAATGTAATGTCAAGTTAAGTTTAACTTCAGGTTTGGTTTCATTACTATTATCACTTTATTTGTATATTTATTTTTTCTTTGGTATATTTTTTTGTCCTGAATTTTTAAGAGAGAGAAATCAATTCTTACCTAACATCATCAGTATATGAATTTGAGGGACCCTAGCCTTACATCCAGAGATCAACCATAGTACAAATTGTCTGGCACTGCGACACCTTACAGCACTGCAGAGCACATACCAGCACAGCCCTGGCTTGCACCATGAAACAAACCACACTGAAAGACAATGGAAATATACAGATTTGCTTACAGTTATGCTTATTACCATTTTCACACTTGTATTTATCCACTGCACACATACATGTGCATTCACCTGCACAGATGCTTGCATATTCATATGTCACATACTCAAGTACATACACATATGGATGCACATATACCATATGCACAACCATACACATACATGTGTGAACACTATCATGTATATGTTTGTACACTTGTACCCCCCCCCCCCCACACACACACAAACACACACACACACACACACACACACACACACACACAAACACACACACACACACACACACACACACACACACACACACACACACACACTCACTCACTCACTCACTCACTCACTCACTCACTCACTCACTCACTCACTCACTCACTCACTCACTCACTCTTCTCTCTCTCTCTCTCTCTCTCTCTCTCTCTCTCTCTCTCTCTCTCTCCTCTCTCTCTCTCTCTCTCTCTCTCTCTCTCTCTCTCTCTCTCACACCTGGACACACCCAAACACCCATTCACACCCATGCACACCCACCCACACACAGACACGCGTGCACACATGCACACACATGCAATCACACATACCCACGCACACACACACCCATGTACACCATACACACCCACACATAGCCGTGCACACACACACTTACACACATACACAAACACAAACACCTGTGCACACACAAACACCGATGCAAACACAAACTCTCATGTGCACATACACACCCGTGCACGCACACTCCTGTGCACACCACATGCACACACACACACGTGCACACACACACACGTGCACACCACACGTGCACACACACACACGTGCACACACACACACACACACACACACAACACACACACACACACACACACACACACACACACACACACACACACACACACACACACACACAACACACACACACACACACACACACAAAGTAGCCTAGATAGCAAGTCCTTCTTCGCTTTTGGCCCCTTTGTGTTCGAGCTTATTTTCTTTCTTTCTTTTTCGCTTTTTGTTTCATGGTCACTTTCTCGGATGGACCCGTCGCCCGCGGCTCCCGGGATATATATAAAAGCAGGAACGAGATTCTGGGGATAACCGTAGCCAACTCAGTATTGACGCCCAGAATTTCATGTAACTAACAACCCCCTGTTCACCAACCATCACCACAACCACTACTAACTACTACTACTACTACTACTACTACTACTACTACCACCTCCATGGAACAGCTAACTCCTGAACAACCAGACTGGTATGTGATTTGGCAAGGAAGCATTTGGTTTGGAAGCATTAGTACTAATATTATTATCATTATTATTACTATTATTGTGGTTAGTATTATTGTTATTATTATTGATGTTGTTGGTATTATTTTGATAAGGTTATTATTTTGTTTAATGTTATTGTTATTATTGTTATTATTATTATTATTGTTGTCGTTATCATTATTATTTTTTTATTATTATTATTATTATTATTATTATTATTATTATTATTTCTTCTTGTTTTATGTTTCTTATTATTGATGTTATCATTTTTTTATGTCATTGCAATAGTTCTGATCCTTTTTATTGAGGAAATTATTATTATTATTATTATTATTATTATTATTATTATTATTATTATTATTATATTCTATGGTAATTGCTATCATTCTAATGATCATGTTGATTATTATTATTGTATTCTATGGTAATTACTATCATTCTAATGATCATGTTGATACTGTAATAGTAATAATGAAGGTGTTAATGATATTATCATTATTATTTTTTTTATTATTATTGTAATTATTGTTGTCATTACTATTGCAATTATAACTATTATTGACATTGTTAGTAATCACAAACACCAGCTTTGATTTTATGATAGTCATTTGTTAAATGCATTACTATTTTTATGTTTATTATTTTTTCTTCTTTAAGAGAAAAGTTGCTGTTGTAAAATTGTTCTTGTTGTTCACAAATCTGAAGGTTGAATTACCATACCTTTTGCAATCTGTCATTCAATAGTGAATCCACTTTGAAATGCATGTCATACATTTGTCATTTGATATGATAACAGATATAGATATAACACCATAATTATGTTACATCGCAATGTGACATAGACATTTTGTAATTATTATGCTATGGCTCGGAGAGATGTACGATTTTATTCTGCAGAGGATTGTCTTTGAACTCATTGATGATAATAACAGGACCCTATAAGTTAACAAAACATTTAGCTGTGAAAGTATGTAGTTCTTGAAGACCCAAAATAGCTGTGAATGACCACTTTCGTCTTTGCTTCTTTCGTCTCTGGTTATTCAAGACAGCTATTTGCATATGCACTTGCAAACTGGAATGCACCATTGAAAGCAAGGTTGCCAGAGCGCCGTGTTTTGACCCTCAGATTTGTGCCGTCATTATAAAAGTATCCGTTTAGTCATC